ACGGGAATACCGAGAGTTCAAAGGATGATTTAATAACTTAAGTTCTTTTTAAGCCAATCACATACACATTATTTTGTGTTCTGCCTACACAACTCTTAGCAATGTAATTTTGTGAGGTGATAAACGCAACCGTTGAACGTTATTGAAAATTCATTTGTGATTTTTAAATTTCCTGTGTTGCGATATTCATACACATGGAAATTTCTTTTTTATGGATTCTATTTCGATAAAGGTAAGGTACTCCATAAATAGAGTTGTAACTAAACTGAATCTTAAAGCGTTTTCATATTTAGCAGAATGATGTAACACTGCTAAGTGAGACATGAATTTTGACCGGACATAAATGGCTATGAGTTACGGGTTGCGCGGTACCCATTTCAACACGCAAAACAATAAACTGGCAATGCGTTACCGTTTACGTGGTACTCATTTCAAGACGCAAAACAATAAATTGTCAGAACAAAAGAATATATATAGACATACGGTAAATTTAGCTTATCGCTATATACCCGGATATATTCAAATTGAGGTCCGACTGCGGGATATAATTATAAATGACGACATTGTTTTCTCCTATTTACGACAGATTACGGTCCATATTTATATTTTATTATGCAACTTGACTATAATACACGTACTGTGTCTTATGTTCATCAACAAATACAAAAGACGCATAGAAGAAACGGCCCGTACAACTTCCACATATAAAGACCTGTCCTTATACAAAGTCCTATTTGCGTAAAACACACCGGCGAATGAAAAATCGCACGGTAAAAACAATTTTCCTTCCCAAGTTTCCATTTAACACTCACGCGTCAGATAAAGCCTGTTGGTTCTTGATTATACCCTTTTGGTGCAATTATAACAACTATCGAGAAAACACACCAATTAAACAATACACACCGAGTCATTCGTTTTTAACCCGTCGGTTAATTAACATACTCAGTACAGAAAACGCACCGTACCAGAGTTTTTCACCCCTACTGATAATTAACTCGCCTTTCAGTCCATTTTTCACCCTTGTTAATTAACACACCTTATCTAGAGATTTTAAGCCATAACGAGGAGTTATAATCCGAATTTTATTTTTTTATCGAGATATGTAGGTATTTACCATTTTGCGAGTTTTTAATGCGGCAAACGTACGTTTTAACCTTTACCTATTTCTCAGTGTTATATCATGAAAATAAGCTGAAAATGATCGAAAGTAATCACACTTTCAATAAAAATGTTAACTTAACTAAATTCACCTTTGTTCTTTGGGACCCCAGAGGTCAAAAGGCCACATTTTCCGTTTTAGCTGTAGGAAGATTTAGAGTAATAAATGTTGGCATAAAAAATAAAAACTAAAGCGAAACCTGTTCTAATTAATAATAGGAACATTTAAAATTTATCTTTAGGTGGTCTTAGCACCAAACTTTTACTTTGGAAAGTCGAAAATGATCTTGCATAACAGAACGAAAACGCTTCAGAACCTGTTTCAAAAATACATTAAAACTGTTCAATCAAAATCCCTCTGAATTAGTTTTACAACGAATGCTATACATAATGATACTAGTTGTCTGAAAAAAACAATTGAATAGTTTCATGGCTGGACTCCAGCCTGCAGGCCGTGTCACAAAGCCTGCCAAAATTTTCCCCGCTAACTTTACCAATACGACATATATCCTGTGATGACTGTGAACTACTATGAACAATGTATTCGTCGGTTTTATCTGCGTCCATGTTCCGGCGAAATTCATATAAACGCATAAAAAATTTGCAAACTTTTAATCTCGTAGTCAGATACATGTTTTTCCTTCACAGATTAACGTCGGTTTTCCAAGAATGGGATTCTCGGAAATCCACAATCTGGTTAAAACACAGATCCTATTTCGTTTCGTTTTTATAGTTCAAAATTTCGTTATACTTGTCTTTACTACTTCATGTAGTGTATGCCATCAAAAGTATAAAAAAACGAAACGAAATATAGATCTGTATTTTAATCAGATTGGGAAATCCACGCAGCCTGCAGGCTGGAGTCCAACACTGAAACTATTCAATTGTTTTTCAGATAACTAGTATCAATATGTATAACAATCGTTGTAAAAATAAATCAGATTTCGATTTGACAGTTTTTACGTATTTTTGAAACAGGTTTCAAAGTGTGTTGGTTCTGTTTTGCAAGATTATTTTCGACGTTCCAAACTAAAAGATAAATTTTAAATGTACCTATTATTAATTAGAACAGGTTTCGCTTTAGTTTTTATACGCCCACATGGAAATGTGGTCGTATATTGCCGTCGCCCCCGTCCGTCCGTCCGTCGTCCAGAATTTCTTGTGAACACTCTACAGACTACATTTATCATCGGATTGTTTTGAAATTGATATGTTGTTTGCATTAGTGAGATGAAGAAGCCTATTTAATTTCAATAACTTCCGTTAATTTCATCTTGAGTTATGGCCCTTGTTTCACTTTGTTGCACCTTGTGAACACTCTAACGACAAAAGTTATCAACCGATCTGTATGAAATTTATATGCATCATTTAAATTAGTAAAACAAAGAAGCCTTTTGAATTTCAGCAATTTCCGTTAATTACATCTAGAGTTGTTTCACTTTGTTGAATCTTGTGAACTCTCTAATGACAACAGTTATCATCCGATCTGTTTGAAATTGATATGCATCATTTAAATTAGTGAAATGAAGAAGCCTATTGAATTTCAGCAATTTCCGTTAATTAGGCCGTGAGTTATGGCCCTTGTTTCACTTTGTTGTACCTTGTTTATGCTCTAACGACAAAAGTTATTATCAGATCTATATGAAATTTATATGCATCATTTAGATTAGTAAAACAAAGAAGTTTATTGAATTTCAGAAATTTCCGTTAATTACATCTAGAGTTATGGCCCTTTTAACAGACTGTGGTATAGGATGTAAATGGTTCATTTACATTATCAATACATACAATTTGCTTTTTGTTATTAAATTATATATAAATTTGTTGATTGTTTTCCAATTTTGATTTCTTTTTGTGCATGCTGCTATTTCTTTATTTATAAAGCAGTGATTGTTTTCCAGTGTTGTGTTTTTAGTATTCATACTGTTATTTGTGATTGTTTTTATACGCCCACATGGAAATGTGGTCGTATATTACCGTCGCCCCCGTCTTTCAGTCGTCCACAATTTCTTGTGAACACTCTACAGACTACATTTATCATCTGATTGTCGATAACAATTTATTGTGAAGACTATACAGACTACATTTATCATCTGATTGTTTTGAAATTGATATATGTTGTTTGCATTAGTGAGATGAAGAATCCTATTTAATTTCAATAAGTTCCGTTAATTTCGTCTGGAGTTATGGCCCTTGTTTCACCTTTTGAATGCTCTTAACGACAAAAGTTATCAACTGATCTGTATGAAATTTATATGCATCATTTAAATTAGTAAAACAAAGAAGCCTATTGAATTTCAGCAATTTCCGTTAATTACATCTAGAGTTATGGCCCTTATTTCACTTTGTTGTACCTTGTGAATGCTCTAACGACAAAAGTTATCAACTGATCTGTATGAAATTTATATGCATCATTTAAATTAGTAAAACAAAGAAGCCTATTGAATTTCAGCAATTTCCGTTAATTACATCTAGAGTTATGGCCCTTTTTTCACTTTGTTGTACCTTGTGAATGCTTTAACGACAAAAGTTATTATTCGATCTGTATGAAATTTATAGGTATCGTTTAAATTAGTAAAACGAACAAGCCTATTGAGTTTCAGGAAATTTCCGTTAATTACACCTAGAGTTATGGCCCTTGTTTTACTTTGTTGAACCTTGTGAACGTTCGAACGACAAAAGTTATCATCCGATCTGTATGAAATTGATATGTTTTATTTGAATTAGTAAAACGAAAAAGTCTGTCGAATTTCAACAATTTCTGTAGATTACTTCCAGAGTTACAGCCCTTCTTTTAGTTTTTAGAACCTTGTGAACCCTCAAACGACGAAAATTATAATGTCATCTGTATGAAATTGTTTATTAAATGCCCCCTAATCACCTACAAAAGAACAAATATACGACAACTCTTGTCAACCGCTCGGACGATTTAACTGCTGTGGGCGTATGTTTAGTTGCATGGCAACCTATCTTTAGTATTTAGTGTACATACATATTAATACATACAATTGGTTTTTGTTATTAGATAATCATAGCTAAATATATGTGGATTTTGAATCAGTACCAAAATTTAACACCTGTACCCAATAATCAACTAAATTGCGCAGAAGCCCCCAATCAAGTAATTACGCCGTTTTAAAATGGGCGACAGCTTGTCTATGGAGATTGACAGTGACTTTTTTGGTGCCAGTCTAATGTACAGTCTCGCGAGATTATCGCACTGCTATTGTGAGCTTGACTTATGACCACATGTACATATGGAAGACTAGTTAATTCATTTGTGATTTAAAAAAGATACATTAACTTGGATGTGATTTACCGATTTCCAATTGTATAATTTACCTGGGACGTGATTTACCGATTTTTGATTTATTTGTCAATGGTGGAATACTAAGTTTATAGGATAATGGATAATATATAATACTACGACTAGGGTCATCTGTATGAAATTGTCTATTAAATGTCCCCTAATTACTTACAAAAGAATAAATATACGACAACTCTTGTCGACCGCTTGGACGTATGTGGGCGTATGTTTTGTTGCCTGGCAACCTATCTTTGAAAGTGTGATTACTTTCGATCATTTTCAGCTTCTTTTCATAATACAAGAATGACTGCACATTCACTTTCAGTGCAAATGAACTCATTTGACCTTTGACCCCGAATATCTCAAATGCCCCAACGGCGGACTGATTACCACTCGGCATCATATTCTATGCAAAATTTTACTCTAGAAAAGTTGGGTCTGGTTTTGTGCACATTTGATGGACACCCCCCATGCGCTGAGCCTCCGGTCTAATGGTGATAACTTCTTTATTTGGATTTTTTTTTGTAAATTGCAGACCTGAGTTGCAGTTTGAAGCTGCTTGGGCATTGACTAATATTGCATCGGGAACCTCCGATCAAACAAGATATGTTGTTAATGAGGGAGCGGTTGTAGATTTTATCAAATTATTAGACTCTCCTCATCAAAATGTCTGTGAACAAGCTGTATGGGCTCTAGGAAACATTGCTGGTATGTATTACATTACAATGGTCCACGGAAACGTACAAATTCATGCAGTGTTACTGTTGTCATATATATTCACTAAGCGTTAATTTTATATGCCCACATTTCAGTGATGGCGTATTATTTCGTCACCCTGTCCATCGGTCAGTCTGATGGATTTGAACAGAATCTAAAGTTTTCATACCACCAGTGTTCTTAATTCATTTTGAAACGAACCAGCTAAAACTGTGTCAAGTGAGGTTCCTGTAGGAAATAGTGTAATAAGCTTCCATTCCTTTTAATATAACCAGACATCAACAAATGTAATTCTTGGAATTTTGTTATGGGGAATGTTGTATTCTTATGTATGTGATTACCACAAAAATAACGACAAATGGGTAAACCTTTTGAAAATTTCCATATTAATTCACACTAAATAACTTTTTTTTATACGCCCATATTGAAATGTGGTCGTATATTGTTGTCGCCACTGTCCGGCCGGCCGGCGTCCACAAGCTCTAGAGGCTAAAGTTAATGTCCGATTGACTTTAAATTTATACACAGTGTTTAAGGTCATGAGACGAAGAATCCTATTGATTTTCAACGATTTCTGATAATTACTGCCATAGTTATGGACCTTGATCACTTTGAAAAATCTTGTGGACGCTCTAGAGGCCAAAGTTAATATCTGATTGACTTTAAATTTATACACAGTGTTTAATAAGGGGACCCACTCCTCAAAGTCAAATTCTATATTTATGTCTGGATTTGTGCAAGTTTGTGATATTATTAACCCCTCTGGGTAGTTGATCAGGAATGCAAAAATTTTGTCACCCAATTTTTGCCTGTTGCCATGGTAACAGGCCACGCCCACTTTTTGTGGCACCTTTTTTGTGGAAGCTTTTTCTCAATTGCTTGTGGACGCTCTAGAGGCTAAAATTAATATCCGATTGACTTTAAATTTATACAGTGTTTAAGGTCATGAGACGAAGAAGCCTATTGATTTGTGGACGGCCTAGAGGTCAAAGTTAATATCGAATTTACTTTAAATTTATAATCAGATTTTAGTGTATTATAAATGTTTCATTACCGAAAATAAAAAATATTTGACAACTCTTGTTGACTGCCTGGACGATTTAGCTGCTGTGGGCGTATGTTTCGTTGCCTGGCAACCCATCTTTGTTGTTTTTAGTTGAAATAAGGATATTGCAGATGTAAATGTGAGACATTAAACCTATATTTCATAAAAATAAGGGTGGTAAAATTTTGGCTGCTGTGTCACGTGTGGGTTTGAGTAACGTACTCCAAAAGGTCTGGTGTTGGTGGGGATAGGTCTGACCGTAACTTACTGAATTATGGCCCCTGATTGTACGAAAAATCGCGTTTTTAGCTTGTGGACCCTATAGAAGTCATTTTTATCCGATTTAAAAAAACGTATTATTATATCACCGTTACACCCTAAGGACGACTGAGTTCAAATTTCGTGGAAATCGGCCCAAAACTGACAGACAAAATGGCCGCCCCTCGTTCTCAAATTGCGTAAAAATATGGTATATCAAGGTTGTGGACCCTAAAGAGGTCACATTTTTTATCCAATTTTGTTGAAACTTGAAATGTAAGTTTATAACTCAAAGATCTTGGTTCCTTTCGATATTTGCGCATATCGAATTGTTATTTCCTGAATTATGGCCCTTGATTGTAGGAAAAATCACTTTCGTTTTAGCTTGTTTTCTATCCATCTCTCGAAAATGTGGGCGTATCCAGCCTGGCAGCCGCTGGTTGGTCTATAAAATGGCAATTATTATTCGATTTACATAAAATTTTCACCATGTGATGCCTTATGCCATTTCTGATTTCATAAAACTAATTGAACATTTTCATTATCACCGGAAGTACTGTACACTTACATGTAACAAATGTATACAAGCCAACAGTGAGGCTGATGTCCCCCGCCGAAATCCCAAATAAATAGATGACACATATTAATTAATCGCACATCTATTTTTTTCAAAAGTATCGAGCAATCAAACTGATTATCAACTATACACTAAGTTTCATCACTCTCTATCAGATAGAATCAAAGTTATCTTGTCCCAAAGCATCGACCAAGGAAATTGCTTATCTCTGCTTAGCTTTAGCTCAATATGTTAATCATTGAACTCAGTCAAGACGAACATCTACATCAAGTTTAAACATTCTACCTCAATTAGAAGCAGAGTTGTTATGTTCCAAAGTCTTGACCAATCAAAATGCTTATTGCTCCTTAGCCTAAGCAGACAATTCTCATCATCGAACTTAGTCAAGGTATTGATGTAATGAAACTATACACCAAGTTTCATCACTCTTACTTAATTAGAACTAAAGTTATCTTGTCCCAAAGCATCAACCAATCAAATTGCTTATCTCTACTTACCATAAGCAGAAAATGCTCATCTTTGCACTCTATCAAGGCATTGGCCCAATAAACACCTACACCAAGTTTGAACATTCTAGCTCAATTAGAACGAGAGTTATTGTGTTCCAAAGTCTTGGCCAATCAAATTGCTTATCGCTCTGCTTACCCTGAGCAGAAAATGCTCAATATTGAACTTAGTCAAGGTATCGATGTAATGAAACTATACACCAAGTTTCATCACTCACTAAATTGGAACTAAAGTTATCGTGTCCCAAAGCATCAGCCAATCAAATTGCTTATCTCTACTTACCCTAAGCAGAAAATGCTCATCTCCACACCCCTTTAAGGCATTGACCTAATAAACACCTACACCAAGTTTGAACATTTTAGCTCAATTAGAGGGAGAGTCATTGTGTTCCAAAGTCTCGGCCAATAAAATTGCGTATCGCTCTGCTTACCCTGAGCAGAAAATGCTCATTATCAAACTTAGTCAAGGTATTGATGTAATGAAACTATACACCAAGTTTCATCAATCTCGCTGAATTAGAACTAAAGTTATCGTGTCCCAAAGCATCAACCAATCAAATTGCTTATCTCTGCTTACCCTAAGCGGAAAATGCTCATCTTCGAACTCCATCAAGGCATTGACCTAATCAACACATACACCAAGTTTGAACATTCTAGCTCAATTAGGAAGAGAGTTATCGTGCCCCAAAGTATCAACCAATCAAATTGCTTATCTCTGCTTACCCTAAGCGGAAAATGCTCATCTTCGAACTCCATCAAGGCATTGACCTAATAAACACATACACCAAGTTTGAACATTCTAGCTCAATTAAAAGTTATCGTGTCCCAAAGCATCAACCAATCAAATTGCTTATCTCTGCTTACCCTAAGCGGAAAATGCTCATCTTCGAACTCCATCAAGGCATTGACCTAATCAACACATACACCAAGTTTGAACATTCTAGCCCAATTAGGAAGAGAGTTATCGTGTCCCAAAGCATCAACCAATCAAATTGCTTATCTCTGCTTACCCTTAGCGGAAAATGCTCATCTTCGAACTCCATCAAGGCATTGACCTAATAAACACATACACCAAGTTTGAACATTCTAGCTCAATTAGGAAGAGAGTTATTGTGTCCCAAAAAGTGTGACGGACAGACAGACGGACAGACAGACGGACGGACAGACGGACAGACGGACAGACAGACAGACAGACAGACAGACGGACGAACCCATTTTAATAGTCCCCTGCTTTCTTCGAAAGGCGGGGGACAAAAATGAATTGATATTGCTGGATTTGGTTGATTCGGCGTCCATTTTATTTGATGTGTGCAATGCTTATGTGGAAACCTGTTTAATGGTTTCATTGGTACCGGAAGTCACATATGTTTAGGGTAACGTGGCACCGGTGAAACCTGTCATTACTGCATTGCAGTTCTAGTTCTTATTATTTTTTTTTTCCACTTGAGCATCTCAGAAACTACTTGTCAGATCAATTCGATGTCTTCGGTTTTACTGGGAAAGTGGGTATTTCGAACGTTCTGCGACTATACGAAATGTCCGATACGCCAAAGTTGTCGTTTTTATACGCCCACATTGAAATGTGGTCGTATATTGTCGTCGCCCCCGTCCGTCCGTCCGTCCGGCGTCCACAATTGATTGTGGACGCTCTAGAGGCTAAAGTTAATATCTGATTGACTTTAAATTTATACACAGTGTTTAAGGTCCTGAGACGAAGAATCCTATTGATTTTCAGCGATTTCCGATAATTACTGCCAGAGTTATGGCCCTTGATCACTTCAAAAAATCTTGTGGATGCTCTAAAGGCCAAAGTTAATATCCGATTGACTTTAAATTTATACACAGTGTTTAATGTCATGAGACGAAGAAACATTGATTTTCAACGATTTCCGATAATTACTGCCAGAGTTATGGCCCTTGATCACTTCATAAAATCTTGTGGATGCTCTAGAGGCTAAAGTTAACATCCGATTGACATTAAATTTATGTAAGGCGCTGGCTCGCTAGCCTGGAGGTCTGGTGTTTGATCCAGATTTTCCAGCGTGGTTCCCCCTTGTCAGTGATGCAGGATGCTCTAGAAGCGAAAGTTAATATTCGATTGACCTTAAATTTATACACAGTGTTTAAGGTCATGAGACGAAGAAGCCTATTGATTTTCAGCGATTTCCAATATTTGCTGCCAGAGTTGTGGCCCTTGATCACTTCGAAAAATCTTGTGGACGCTCTAGAGGCCAAAGTTAATATCCGATTGACTTTCAATTTATACACAGTGTTTAAGGTCATGAGCCGAAGAAGCCTATTGATTTTCAGCGATTTCCGATAATTACTGCCAGAGTTATGGTCCTTGATCACTTCAAAAAATCTTGTGGACGCTCTAAAGGCCAAAGTTAATATCCGATTGATTTTAAATTTATACAGTGTTTGAGGTCATGAGACAAAGATTCCTATTGATTTTCAACGATTTCCGATAATTACTGCCAAAGTTATGGCCCTTGGTCACTTTGCAAAATCTTGTGATGCTCTAAAGGCTAAAGTTATAATCCGATTGACTTCAGATTGAAACACAGAGTTTAAGATCTTGAGACGAACAAGTATATAGATTTTC